AAAAGCTGTGCTTCCTGCATAAACCTGCCCCTGTTGGTTTGGCAGCAGCTTGCTTGCCCTACACAGTTACCTTGTTTAATTTCTTAATTCAAGTTATATATATTTTGTTCTATTTGGGTTAAGTTATTTATAATAGGTGAAGTGAAGTTTACTGTTGAGTGCACTGATGTCAGACTCATTTTGAATAATAAAGTTTATTGTAAAATTGTTAAATACCCTGCCTCCACTACATAGGCCTATGTTTGTCACATTATTATAAGTGTTTGATCACCACATTCAGTTATCATTGCAAGAAATGTGTTTATGTATATATATATATATATATACACACTGTATTCTATATACTGTACCAGTCAAAAGTTTGGACACACGAATGGGATGTGTGTCCAAACTTTTGACTATACTCTACTATAATATAGCCTACACATAAAGAATATCGGCCAATATATCGATATCGGTCTTTTTTTACTCCCTAATATTGGTATCGGCATCGGCCCCCAAAAAGCCCATATTTAAGTCTATACTACGCTGGTTAACTATAATGGGCTCTTTTGTGTGTGTGTGTGTGTGTGTGTGTGTGTGTGTCTGCTAGCAAAGCCTGACAGGAACAAGCTGTGCCCATATGATTAATATGTGTATGTGATACAGTGATAGACAGCCATGAGTTTGTGTGTGTGTGTGTGTGAGTGTCTGTGTCTGTGTGTGTGTGTGTGTGTGTGTTAGAAATGCAGCAGGTTTAATGAAGCTGTAGTGGATGGTGGTGACTCTGCTTGCACTAATGAGAAGACACAGAAACCACACTCACATACGCCATGAACAAACATAATATATAAAATAACATAAGCACAAGGAAACACAAGCTTGTCTGCTTCTAAGAAAGCTCCAGGGGAACAGACAAGAATTTCACAAAGACATCAAACATCAATACCACTGTCTGACTGCTTGTTAAACCCAGAGTAAAGCTACCATGACCAAAACTCGCAACACTGAATCCAGCCAAATATAAAGACATGCAAAGTTATCAGGCACTGACTATAAAAAAGATCTCATTGAAATTCTTGAAGAAAATGGACATAACCATCATCTTCTAGCACAAAGTGCAGGTCCAGGTTAGAGAAGGTACTGTATGTCTGACTCTCTGCAAGTGTTACTGCATTCATCATCAGAACTGAATAAGATTTCCTTGTGAAATATTCATGACTGCATGACTCAAAGCTTGCTCAACATTTTTAGCAGATGGGTCAGTACTGTCTGGGTACCTCTCTCTCCCAGTCTGAATTCACATGACGGAAAGCCCTATGGTCCCCGGCTGCACACACATTGGTTGGAAACGCTGCAATGTAGAGCATTAGCGTGCACAATGTGTTCGGACAGAGTGTTTCCTTTAAGTGAGAGAGTAAAAAACTAAATCCAACTCCATTCCTGGCTCACACTATCATTATCTTGAAAGAGAGGGTATGCAGCATGTTAATTGCCATCAGCTGGCTCTTCAAGCCAAATATAAATTCTAAAACAGTAAATAATAAGGGCCAAATCCTTTTGCTCAGCTTACTTTCTAATGTTTTTCCCCTATATGTGTGTGTGTGTACACACACTTACAATTTAATGCATTCTTGTTGCATCAAAGTAATATCAACTAGGGCTGTGCGATTTGGGGGAAAATATCAAATTGCGATTTTTTTGACAGATATTGCGATTGCGATTTGATTTGCGATTTTAAATTTGCAAAGTCAAGCTTCAGCTCAATATTGTCAATAATGTGCAGCACAGTATGGGTATCATTACCCTGCTGAAAAAAACAATAGAAACCATCACAGAAATTCTTATAGTTTCCATTAAACCATTACAAAATTATTTTTTGTTTTGGGCATTATTCCAATAGGAATTACTGCTGTTCTATTGGTTGCCATCTGCCAGATTACAGCCCACCAATTGGGTGTTTACGCAGTTGCTAGAGCAGTGCTGATTGGGGAGAACGGAGGTGCGCTCACTCTTGCCCAGGGCAAGTAAGACTGCAACTCAAGGCTGGCAGTCATGCATATGCTCTGGAACAGAGTAATATCGCATCCACATCGCAGGCTTTGCGACATCTCAAATCGCGATTTCGATTCAATTTCGATTAATTGCACAGCACTAATATCAACTAATAATAATAATAATAATAATAAAAACAAACATTACAATAATGCTTGTCAATCTAGAGTTTGAAAAGTAGCTTTCCCAACACTGACTGCAAGACTACTGCTAAATCAAGTCCATTGATTCATGATACCTTTCATGAAGTAGAAAGGTTGTGTGTAGCAATACTGACGTGGGAGAGAGTTTGAGTAATGTTACTGAATACAGCCGGCCTTTAGATCTGAGATGCCCACTGGTATAGACAGATCAAGTGTGTTATTATACAGCCTACTAATGCCAGAGAGAAAAAGACAGATAGAGCTCAGTTTCACTCCTCTACACACATCCACCCCCATACGTACTCTCACATGCAGGCTTCTACACACACTGGCATTAATCTCTTCCCACACATTAACAGCCCCTCACACTCCCACACACACACAATCAAGTAT